AATATATATATATATATAAATATATATATATATATATATTTATTTATTTTCTGTCTGAATACCTTGCAGTATTTGTTTTGTTGTATGTTAATTGAATGGGGTTGCTTTAAATCTTCTATGGAAACAAGAGATATATGGGGTATGCCATGTCTTTATCACATAAGGGATTTATTGAAAAATCAAAATATCATAAAGACTCTAACAAGTCAATTAGGCTATGTAAACATCATTAGAAGTTGGGAAAATATTTTGGTTTCTGTGGATGTATTGAAATCAAGGTCTTGATTTGTTTTCTTTTTCTTCCTGGGAACATCCACTGAAATTGAAAAACATCACAGAACTTGATACCTCACAACCCATGTGAATCTCCTAGTTGTATACGAGTAGGGTAGTGTGCCTCTCTGCCTGATAGGGTAGTGTGCCTCTGCCTGACCTTGGCTCTGTTACTAATGCTTGGTTATGTACCCCTTTTTGGTCTGTGGCATTTCTGTGCATACCAGACTGCTGGTCTCTTAGTTTTATTGCCTAACATATATGCTTTTGATTTAAATATATTATGAATGTATATATTTAATGGTTAATTTTTCCCAATTTATATATTAATTGGTGGGTTCTTTCTCAGGTGGTTTGCAAAAAGATTTCTGCATCCAGATATAGTTTCTATTTATGATTATATCTTTCTCTGGGATGAGGATATAGGAGTTGAACATTTTTCTCCGTCAAGGTATGACTGATGGTTGTATACTTTGACATTTGTCTTCTTTTGGCTTCTAATATGAAGCTTTTCATTTTGTATACCAGCCGAGGCACCCAAGATATGATATAATGAAAATGATCCTATTTTATTCAAATATATGATATGATAATTTTTTTTCTTTTGTTGAAAATTGAATGAAAATTCACTTAAAAAATGTCACTCGTAGAATTTTTTTTTTCCCAAATCAAGTTTCTTAACTTTAACTCATGGGAGAAACTTAATTCATTTTAAAGTATTATTTTCTTTTCATACAAGTTCTTATTGAGAAACAGGGTCATAGTATAAATGTTTTGAAATCAAATCAATTTTATTTTACGTCAACTTGTGTTCTACAAAGTCATCTCACAGCCTGCTTCATCTGCTCATAATTTACACTACCCCTTGCCTGTAAAGCAGTACTGGTTCATTTATATGTGCATGTGTATATTTGTGATTGCATATATTGTTGAATCCCTTGTGTTTTTCTATTTAAATACCTATACATTTTTGCTACATTGATTAGTTTTTATTTTTTTTTATAGATAAAAGTAGTATTGAATTTTTTTTTGAAGCTCTATAATGATTTCTCTGCCTTTTGTTGTTTAATTGAACTTGTATGCACAATAAGCTCTATATTATCTTTATTTGATTAAGGTCACACTAGGTTACTGAGTAATCTTTGGTTGTCTGGATTCTGGAAAGGTAGAAAAAGTGGTAATTGGTTGGATTTATATTCATTATATTCTTCTTCTTCTTGTAAAGACTAGTCAATCACCTGATGACAGACTTTTGCTCTCATCAAAGAAAGGATGAATTAACATGGGCATCTATTTTTTTCAGATACATTGAAATTGTGAAGGAAGAAGGATTGGAAATATCTCAGCCAGCCCTTGACCCAAATTCAACAGAGATACATCATAGAATTACAGTTAGAGCTAGGACCAAAAAAGTTCATAGGTGACTTATTGATAGTCCGCTGATATTTACTTAACTACTTGCTAATCAATTTCATACTTAAACTTGAATTTTCATACATGCAGAAGAGTGTATGAACTCAGAGGCAATACTAGGTGTTCAGATGCAAGTAAAGGGCCTCCATGCACTGGGTAACTGTTCCTTTCCCTGAACCTGATTATGCTGTGTATTTTTTCAAGATGTTCATTCTGGATCTTATTCTTGTGATGTTATCATCCTTCTTTCTGCCATCAAGATGGAAAATATTTAAATTTAACTAGTCAATAGAAAAGGGAACTTAACATAATCAATAACATTTACTCTGGTTGAGTTTTATGATATGTTTTGGTTGTATCTACGACCATGTTATGAATGACACAAATTTCAACAAAACTTGACAGGTTTGTGGAAGGTATGGCTCCTGTTTTCTCTCGATCTGCCTGGTATTGTACTTGGCATCTTATACAGGTAATTTTCCCTTGTCCATAGGATTTGTAAAAATTCTAACCCCAGAGAACACCTGAAATTCTTTAATTATTCAAAGTCTTGCCTCTTTCAAAACAATTGTATTACCTACTCTGGTGTAATGTTATGAACTGAGAATTTTTTCGTGTTAAGTATCTTATGTATAACTATTTCTTGACCTAGGAAATTCTTGGTATTCAAGAACAACTGATGAGGATAAGTACATTAGAAGAAATAACTAAATTACAGAATTGAGCTCCCAGCCTTAAGAGAGGTTCCCCCCACTCAGAACCACTCTTTACAATCTTGTCTTTTCTCTACTCTTGTCTTTTAACCTTTCACTACTCTTCTGTTAGGCTTCTCCCTCTCTCTTCCTTCCACCTTGTAACTCATCATTACTTCCTTCTTCCCACTTATTACTCCCATGATGCTCCTTAGCCAACTCTTGTTTTGGTCCATTATCTATGATCAGCACTACTACTCTGCCCTGCCCCCTATTTTTCTTATCATATGTCCTAATGCCTTGCTTTAGTCTTCTAGAATTAACTTTGGTTATGGTCCTAACATTTACTTTCTTTTTCATTTGAATGAAAATTCATTATTTAATAAATTCAGCCATTAAGTTTGTCAAGGTTACAAAATGCTTGTGAAAATGTTTTTGGAGATGAGCTTGTGGATTAACTTTCTGCCCTCTTCTAACAACTGAAAATAAAACATATTCCAATTTACTTGGATTTTTTCGTGTTTTATTTTGGTTGTTATCATTGTGGAGTTTAACTTTGTCTCTTCTGTAATTTTTAGTATTCAATTTTTTGATTTGATTGGTTATAGATCAAAATAGTCCATATTTTTTAACATCATTATCATTATCATTTTCTCAGAATGACCTTGTCCATGGATGGGGAGTGGATATGAAAATAGGATATTGTGCACAGGTGAGAATTACACATTTTCTGGACAAGATTTATAATTATTCATTATCCTGGAATTCATCATGTTTTCAATTCAGCTTGCCTAGTCAGTTGTCATTAACTCGTTATACTAACTGACTTGCACTTTCTCAAATTCATTTAGGACATGATAAGTATCATTACCAGTGAAATAATTTGTTTTTCAGGGAGACCGCACTCAAAATGTGGGAGTTGTTGATAGTGAATATGTTGTTCACAAGGGTATACAAACTCTGGGTGGTAGCAATCATGATGTTGCTAAAGTAATTTTCTCCTTTCTCTCCTAATGTTTGAATTAATTTTGTATCCATTAGCTTGTGTGCCTATGTACTGTCTTTGCTTCCTAAAAGAGCATTAGTACACAAACTTCACTTTGAAATTTATATATGTTCAGTGGTTACAAATGCTCCTGTGTTCATATTTGTTTCTTTTATGATTTTTTAATATTATTAACTTCTTCAAGATTCCACTTTGATAAGTGATAATATATCAACAACCTGGGAACACGAGTTTATAGAATAAGTTAAATGGAAACAATCTGCAGCAATAATTTTTCTTTGTTTTCTTTATTTTTGCAGGTTTCAAATAGCAAAAGAACACCTCCGGTACAGTTTTTAATGGCATACAGTTATTCTCTATAATCCTATTTCATTTACCATCACAGTCAGTACTAATTTGGTGTTCTTGTTGCTTTTGTTTGATAATCAGAAACATGGTGCAGCGGCCTTTGATCCGCGAGTTGAGGTGAGGTTTTTAACTGCATTTGAAACCAAATCTTGGGTTGATCACAAAGTAGCTTGCAATGGCCTTGTTACTTTTTAACCATGTCTTGTGTTGATCACACAATAGCTTGCAAATGACCTTGTTTACATTGTAACACTAACATGGAGTGATCACAGATAAGAAGGCAGTCAACATGGGAACTTAAAGTCTTCAAAGATCGCTGGAAGCGAGCTATTGATGAGGACAAAAGCTGGGTTGATGGATTTAATAGTGATGAAAAACGCATGAGACAAAGGCGGAGTAATCACATGTTCTCTTAGCATTTATTTTAACTAACCCGGTTTCATATGTTACCCCATCTTCATTCATAATCATAGGGCATCATTGGTTTTATTTATAGCCTTAGTGTAGTTATTTTACCTGAATGAATTCTCAATTCATTCAATTTTGGAACCTCACTTATTCTTTTGTTCTTTTCATTCATGTCAAATGCTTCCCTGTCTCTCTCTCTCTCTCTCTCTCTCTCTCTCTTTACCATACGAGTCCTTCTTGATATTTTTTATTTGGATGTAATTATCTTATATGCAACCATAGTTTTATCATAAGAGCTATAATGAAGAAGCTTCCATCTTCCTGTAGTGCTTTTGGTTTCGGTGGACTTTAAGTTCATTCATTAATTGGACCATGCTAATGATGCTAGTGCTCAGCATTTTCTTTTATATGTGGGAACAGGTGTAATTAATTTGCTGAGATTTATCAACTGGGGTTGTTGGCTCTCTCAATCTTTCCTCTCATAGAAAGCACTTATTTATTCTATTACCTGGTTTTTAAGAAGATGGTGTTCTTTTTTGCCACACCATTTTAAATTATTTATCATTTTCAACATGAGGAGGGTGATCAATATTCTCTAACACATTATTCTTACATGTTCAACACATTTTTTATTGGTTAAAATTTATTAAATTATGAAGATTTATTGAATAGGATGCAAGACACGTCAAAGTTTGATATTATTGCTGGTATAGCGGCTAATAGGCATTTCTTCAACAGTAAAATTGGAGATATTAAGATAATAAGATGTAATAATTTGAAAATTTAAATTTTGAATGCTATATCTTCGTGTTTTCGAGAATGAAAAAAATGGATTCAGGATTTGTTTGAAATTCAAATTAAACATTGAAGTCGGTCATGTCATTCAGGAATCAGTAATCTTCATACGTAGGTAACAATGAGAGTATATCTACAACCTTAGTTTTATGTCAGCAGAATCATCAATTTATTAGAATTATTATGATTCTCTTTCTCACTCCTGATGTTTGAGAATTAGCCAGTTTTTGACGAGTACGGTTCTTTTAAAGTATAATTAAAATATTTCGTTAAGGAACGTAATTATTGGTAGTTGGTATGCAAAAAACATTTTCATTATAGTTTATCACCTTGGATCTATTTTTTATACACATATATTGCTTCCATTTTTTTACGTATTTATTTATTTATTTGTACTATGTTATATATATATAT